ACCATTCGCAAATATTTATATCCAGAACTAAAGAAAGCTAAATGAGAAGGGAAAAGAGCGAAAATTGCAAAGGGTAAACTTGTCATGGAAAGGCAACAAATAGAAATTGAAATTTGATACGTTTATATTATATACTTATATTATAGTCTATATAGTTCGTATTTACCCACCAAATAAATACTTATTGGCTAAAAACCTTTTAAATGTCTACTCTTGATGATAAGCATAACGAAAATATTGTCAGTGAAGAAGATATGCATAAACTAAGGAATTTGAAATTCAACCCTTTCGACGCAAGTAATAATAACGCAAATATAGATAACTGTTCCAAAATCAATTGTGGATATTATCTACCAAATGATTTCAAACAACAAATAAATCAAGAGAATCTCAGTAATAATTTTTCAATAATATACTTAAATATTAGAAGTGTGGTTAATAAATTTAAATTATGTAAACAATTAATAATCTCATTAACCATTTCAGTTAAAATGTTTAAGTGAGACGTGGCTAATTGATACCAACAAAGATCTTTTTAAACTAATTTAAAAACTATGATTTTGTAAATATGAATAGATCCAGTAAAATTGGAAGAGGAGTAGGTATTTATATCGCAAATCAACTATTAAATACGTACTGATCTAAACCTGTAGCGATGAAAATATAATTGAATCTGTTTTTATTGAACTTGTAACAGCTGTTGGTAAAAATATAATAGATGTAATTACAGACAACCAAATAGTAAATTTGATTTATTTGACACTAAAATGAATCAAATATTAGGCAAAATAGATCAAGAAAAAATTTGAAATTCAGTCAAGCGCTTCGCCATGTCGTACATATATTGGTAAATATTTGTTTATACAATTGATTATTTCGTTCTCCAGAGTCGAAACTGGATCTTTAATTCACTGTGAATTTGTGACAATTTTTAATCTAGGGAAATTATATTAATTTACTGTCTGAAAAAATATGGGATCTCTGAGTTTTATATATAGTTCAACTTGTTCAAGACATGTATAGACTAGTATAGTCCTTGCAATCTAATTGGTCACCTCAGTACTAGATTCAGTCAAGATTAAAACTGATTTCATCTTTATATGGTGAGCTGTTATCAAAATGCAACTGGGATTGAGTTATTGGATGATTATTGTTTTGTAATTCATAATCAGGCATCTCCAGATGAACTTTGTGCAGGAGCATATATTTTTTTACATCGGACATGATTGTACTGTATGTTGGTTTTCACATGGGACCCAGTCCTGCTGACCATACATTCAATCATTGTTATATATTTTATAGCACTTTTGTGTGATTGCATATTAATATTAATATCACTGACTGCACTGGACAAAAATGTACTATGTTGAATGACATGGCATGATTGTTTGTGAATCTTCAAAAAATACAAACCGTAGTGTAGTCTTTATAAAGGGTATATACCCCATGTAAATATTTTTTTTGAAAACATTGATACTGTAGATTTTCATTCATGGAAAAATTGAGGACAATTTGCGCACTACCACCACCATTTTCATGGCTACTATAACCACCAAAGTCCGGCCAACAGTGATATTATGGACTGCTGCTACTGTAGACATTGTGTTCCACATGCCAACAGGAAGAAAATATTTGTTCTGTTAGATCAAGATAACATTGTATATGTAGAATACTGTCGTTCAAGAAATTGTTTTGAGTCAACATTGCCATTTACCCTTATTCGCTCTAGCAATTTTCTTTCCAACTTTATTCTCACGATACATGTAGGAACATCAATGAAAACACAATAGTAATTGTATTTTCTGTTGTGACATTTATTTGAAAAAGATCACAGCCCTGAAGAAAGTTGCTATAGTGTGAACTATAGTTACAATACAAATCTTGTAGAAAGTTACTGGTGTGAACCACATTTTATAATTGAAGTGCTTGTATATGTTGGCAGTACAGTATCTGTTGCACGGCATCAATTAGCCACGCAGACAAAAGTGTTATACCTAGTTGTTGTAAAAAAATTAATATATAGCATATGCTTTATACCACACTAATGATCAGATGTTCAAACTTTACTACAATATAATATAATAAAATGCAACACATGTAATATCATGCATTCTTAAACATCTAATAATTTAGAGCTCCCAAAACAAAGCAGATGTAAGGATTAGAGAATTTTTCCCCTGACTATGTTACATGAAGATAATGTTATCTCCACCAAAACTATCACTATTTATATCTCAATGTTGGCCAGATAACTGTTTTAGCCAGAATGTTAAAACTGCTCAACAATATACTACGTTTTCCTTCACATGGCATGAAACATGGTGCTTGAAATCAGTTATCATATATCCATACAAAAAGATATTGAAATATTTAAAGCAGCTACAGGAAATAGAACTAGAAAACATTTTATAGGTAGCTATATTTAAGGACATAATTTTCTGACTCAACCAGCACTGGATAATATTCCCAAGTCAATCAAACTATTCTCAACTCAATCAAGTTATTTCCACTCATAAACAATACTTGTGCCCTTATGTAATGTGCATTGTTATTATAAGGCAATACATTCTTCCATCTTTGTTTCAACAGCATCCAATCTCTATTGTTTCTTCTATATTTATTCCTCTTTTTAAATTTGTTTCTGATTGGTAACCACTACCGGGTGTCCCAAAAAAAGTACTCCGGTTTGACTTATAATAACTTCTAAACAAGTAAATCTATCAAACAGATATAACTTGTATTAAATAGAGGACGGACAAACTTAGATTTTGATATGTTACAGTTGTATTTAACTTAAAAATTCACGGAGATATTAATGTTCAAAATCGGGAGCATATTTTGGGATGTGTCTAAAATTAGCGAAAATCGGCATATCAAATATTAACTCCAGCGTTTGTTTGCTTAATGACATATCAGGCTAACTTGTATTTCAGCGAATTGTCGTTAGGGTTTGTAAGGGATTTGGCGTAGATTTAGGCATCTTACATGTAAGTCTTAAATCATTGTTTCCTGAAATATGAACGTTCGAAATTATGTGCAAGTATTTAATAGGTCTTTGCAACTTAAAGGTACATGAAAGACCATGCAAGGCAGGTGCTTAAATTTTTCTAAAATAGCTATCCATTTTTTATGTTTTTAATGGGTTCAAAACAAAGTTGATTATTTCTCGGTTAGAGCAGGATGAATATTATTCTTTAATGAAGGAAATAATATTGCTTTTTGCAAATACACATCACAGTATCAACGCTAGCGCTATTTTGTTACGTTTTGTTCCAAAAATGTTGGATGTCTCTGGGGAGTTGATTGTTATGTCTTTACTTATGGAGTTGTTTGCATATTTTGATTGTGTTTCATTCTCAGTTTATTCTGAACTTGCCAAGATTAAGAAAGGCAAAAGAGTTTGGGTGTTCTTAATAATCTCTTTTGCATCACAACCCAGTTCTATCGATCCTGCGAGATCGATGGCGAGAAATTTCATATCTTCGGTTCTGCGCATGCTATGAAGACAGAAATACCACCATTCGATTCAGAAATAAAAGATTTAACTAATTCTTCCGTATAGTTTTAGTCATTATCAACGTTGTAGCGATTTATGGGCCTTTGAAAGTCAAATACGATCATATTGTATCAAATTACGCAATTGTCTGAACAAAATATAGACTAGCCATACCTTTCGCCGAAAATAACTTCGGCCTCTTCGAACATATCGTCTTTGTAATAGTCTTGTTAGAATCCCCATTAAAAACACTATCTAAAGTGTTATTTGCAAGCCTGTATCTTCAAATCTGTAACTTTTATCAATATATTTCCATTTCTTGTCCGACTGTGAGCTCGAAGTGAGTTAATCCCAACCGGAAATACGACTGAAAAGCGTCAAAACAATGCGACGCTTGTATCGTATGACCCTGGAAAGGCCAGAAATGGATTCGCAAGGTCAAATTGCATCTACACGCGTGAGTTTGACGTCATCCCGGCCACAGGAGCTTCTTATTGGCCAATTATTGCGCAATGTACGCAATTGCGAGTAAAACCCGAACATTTTGAAAAATTAAAAATAAATATTTCTACTCGTCGTATTCAAACGAAATTTTGTACACAAAAGCGCTTGAATACAAAGAGTATTTTACACATATAGCCGTTCCGCAAATGACGAAAAGTTCAAGGGATATTCAAGATTTTGTGGATATGAAATTTAGAATCTTTGGTCAAGCGGTGAGTAAATATATGATTGTTTCGGTTTGTGTAATGTTTTTACGGCACTTGACCCCCCGTTCGAAAGGTTATTTTGTGAGGATTTCAATGGTGGGTTTTATTTAAAACGGGGGGTCAATACTCGCCAAGATATTTATACTAGAACGATTGGGTCGTAATATGATGCGAATGCTTGTGACCGAAAAGAGATTTATTAACAAGATTTCAGAACGTTGCAGAAGTTATATTAAAGTTCATTCAATGTGAAGTTAGAAAATTCACAATTCCATTGTGACAGCATACCCTAATTCAGAACTACGAACGATCCATGACGATCCTTCGCGATGCAGTGGTCTCATGAAATAAGGAAACGTATTCGTGCTAGGAACACACGCGGATTTCGGACGAATAAATTTTGCTTGTATTTTGTAGATAATAATACTTTGTTTCATAATAAAAAATTTGTCAAGTGTCATTTATTTACTGGTAATAGTGCATGTTTCAGTCGGGCAAATCTTGATTAATATTTGATACGCCGTTTTTTGCATATTTCAGACACATCCAGAAATATGCTCCCGATTTTAAAGTGCCTATGAAACGAAATTTTGATACATGGGTTTTGTCATTATTCTAGTACTTGTTGACACGCTGAATCGCTTGGTGCAGTTTGTTTTTGCCCTGCTACACGAGAAAGTGCTTTATTTTGATCTCAAACATGCCAATTCTGCGCTAAATTTTTCCGTGCAAGCTGCGCGGTCAAAATGTACTATGACGTCACACGTTGTAGTCCTGCTCGCGTGTAGTCCATCATGGCCGACAAAAGCGCACAAGGGTCAGTGCAAACCACTAAAGAAAAGAAATATCTCGGCAAATATTGCGTAGCCGGTGGCCCAAATAAGTCAAGTTGCAAAAATAATTCTTTAACTGCAGGAATATCAATGCATGAATTCCCTAAAAAGGATTCATCACTTCGAAAATTGTGGATTCAATTCGTCCAGCGACATCGCCAAGACTGGCAACCTTCGGTATATTCCTGCTTGTGTTCTGCACATTTTGAAGCTTCTTGCTTCCATAATCGCATTGACATCAATCTCGAAGGCACCAGTACGACACGAACGAAACGATTGCTGGATAGAAGTTTAGCTGTTCCAACAATTGATACGGTTTCTTCGGTGCGAACTTCAGACGCAATCTCGTCAAGGGAACGCAGACAGGTACGCGAATAATAATAATGCACTAATTATATTCATGTATTTTTAATATCAATATGAATTTTAATCACTTGCTGTGCTTGAGAATTTAATACTGATCTATTCAAGAAATCTATAAAGAAATAGACTATTTTGTCAATCGTTTATTTTACCCCGTGGATATTCGTCCGACACCGGATCTTCTTGCTTCACGGCTATTAATCCGACAACGCTGTAAAAGCTAGCACTAAACCACTAAATGGTTGCGTTGTTTTTTAAGAACGAAGCAACAACATATTATTCTATACGCTATACGTTTCGACGGTTTCGTACGCGAAAATCACGAAGAAAAAAAAAAAGTATAAAAAAAAATAATAGAATAATAACAAGAGCAGGAATCGATCCCACAACTTGGCGCACGCAATACGGGTGCCTAAACCACAACACTACGGAGGATTCGCTTGAAATTCATTTAAATTTACGCAGTTTTATATTTAACGAGTTTAATGATTATGGAATGTCGGACGAATATCCACTTCCTTTATTTTATGTATAGGTCCTTCGTCATGTTCAGCGAGAATGGCAAACACCTCGGCAAACACCATCTCCGAATTTGAATGTCGAAGCAATTCATGACATTCACATTGTGGATCAAACTCCTTCGACCCCTTGTCCGAGCCTTATTTACGAGCAAGCCACTTCATCATTGACCACTGTCGAATCCAGTATCGTAACTCCAATTTCCAGTGAATTATTGACTTCGTCCAAGGAACAATGTAAAAAGCTGCGAGATTCCTTGCGTAAAGGCAAAGTCGCTAGAAGGAAACCGAAGCTGAAGGTGCAGCAGCTGGAAAAAACTAACAAGAGCTTAGTGAATGTAAGTGTGTCTGTATGAGATGTTTATACAGTATGTAAGGGACAGATCGTTTTATAAATTGTCAAAAGTAGAAACATAAATATTTCAAATTGAAATTCCCTGTATGCAGGTATGCTTGCTATGGATAGACAAAGTAAAAAATAGTATTAACCCGTTTATAGCGCCCAAATACACCCTGCTTAATATTTACTCTGTCTAACGCCATACAATTTTAGTCGTCAGTGGTAGAGTATTGCCAATTAATGGGTTAACAAACCATCTGCCCATGTCACTTGTTAACCCATTAGCACCCAAGTACACCCTACTTTAGTATTTACTTTGTCTAATGCCAGACAATTTTACTCGTCAGTGGTAGAGTGTTGGTGGTTATTAATGAGTTAAAATGAAAATTGACAAGTATTGTACAGAAACAACCATTCACATATGAACTAATATTGCACTTATTTTCCTACAGAAAGTAAAAAGGCAAACTGTGATGATTGATCAAGTTGTCAACGATCTTCACACTGATGAGTCTGATGACGATGATGGTGAAGATATCGAAGGAGACTGGGAGCCAACAAATGATGATGACGATGGTGATGATGAGGTTCCAGCAAATGAAGAGTCAAGAAATGTGATACGGTATATAACCGATTGAATGTGTTGTTTGAGAATTCCTCATGGCCATATCAACATTTCCTTGGGTTTCACTACGGCATTTTGCAGTGAATCTGATTGGGGGTCAACCAAAAATGTATTGATGCTTATGCTGTACTGGAGTGAGCAAATGATACAAAATTGCATGTATTTGCCACCAAAGACAAGGCCAACACATACAGTGAAAATTTATGACATCATATGAAACCCAAGAATAGGGAACACATTCTCCCTTGCAACACAATTTTTCCATTGCTAAATTACTACTACGGATATTTCAATATGGCAAATCGGAGCACAATTTACTGTGCCCTTGATTGCATTAACATTTATAGATGCCCTGTTAGTGTTATTTTTAATCTCTATTGTAACACTGTACTGGCAATCCTTGGGTCTTACATCACTTAATTAACATTGCCTACTTGTAATTAAATTATGTACAATGTCTCTTTTTTAGTGTCAATGCAAGTACAACATCAGTTGATGAGCCAAAGTTTATTGTTTTTTACCAATCCCTTTTGGCTTTGTTTTCTTTGTTTTGTTTTAACTGCAAAGCAGAGAAACCAGAAGTGAGAATGGAGCAGAATGGTACCATGGTAACTGTTGAACAACAATGCTCAAATTGTTATGCGAAACCATTCCGATGGAGAAGCCAACCTTTTATTCTTGGCAGATATCCAGCAGGAAACGTTTTGTTGAGCTTTGCGACATTGATGGCTGGTGCTTCAATCAGCAAGGTTCTTCTGGTTTTTCGGCATTTTGGTTTGGCAGCCTACTCACCGAGGACCTTCTTTTACCATCAACGCAAATTTCTTTTGCCAAGCATCCTCCACTACTGGGAGTCATACCAAGCTAAGCTGATACAGTCATTGAAGTCTGTCAAAGATATTGTTTGGAGTGGAGATGGTCGATTCGACTCAATGGGCCACTCTGCAAAATATGGAGTGTACACAATGTTCTGTTGTACCATAATGAAAATTGTCCATTTTGAATTGTTACAAGTGAGTATAAATAGTGGTAAAGGGTAGACTGGGGAGGTTCTTGAAAAAAAACCGAAACCTGTCAAGAGAAAACCCGAAAAACTAGTTTTTTATCTATAAATAACACACAGACATAAAATAGTGTAGCACATATTTTTATTACGTGAAAACCTGGTCTGCTCACAGCCTCACATCGTTGAAGGTGACGTTATCAACTACCCGAAAAATAAGAAAGGTAGTCGTATAACCTGGTCCTTTCACAACTATTTCTCACATTGCTACCATCCCCCCCCCCCAAGTTTATTATAGAACTATAGTTTCTCAAATATGATTATACCATGCCTGAAATAGGACAACGCTTTTCATTTTTTTCTCTTATTCCTAGGAGCAAAAAGTACTAAAATCTTTGAATGTTTAATCCATTTTGTGTTGCTTGCTTGCAATTTTTAAATGTTTACACTAGTTGCACAATTATTCTTTTGGGGTCACTTGCTGCTTTCAGCTAAATTAGTATAAACGAGTTAAAGGGAATAAGAGTCTAATGGTATTATAATGATATTGTGGCCAAGTACTAAAGTAATAAGGGAGTAAGAGGGAATAAGTGTCTAATGGTATTATAATGGTATTGTGGCCAAGTACTAAAGTAATAAGGGAGTAAGAGGGAATAAGAGTCTAATGGTATTATAATGGTATTGTGGCCAAGTACTAAAGTAATAAGGGAGTAAGAGGGAATAAGAGTCTAATGGTATTATAATGGTATTGTGGCCAAGTACTAAAGTAATAAGGGAGTAAGAGAGAATAAGAGTCTAATGGTATTATAATGATATTGTGGCCAAGTACTAAAGTAATAAGGGAGTAAGAGGGAATAAGAGTCTAATGGTATTATAATGGTATTGTGGCCAAGTAATAAGATACTTGAAGTCTTGAAATTTGAGAATAATATAATAACCGGAAACACTGCAGGGCGACGACCACTACATTCATTAGTCCCCCTTACTCCCAGGAATAAACACGAAAGTTAAAATTTCTTGTCCTATATTAGGCATCATATGTGCCAATGCATTGATGATCAGTGATAACAAACTTAATTTATTTTTTAGGCTAACCAGTCTGGTAGCAGCAATGCAATGGAGTTGGATGGTTGCAAGAGATCATTCGATTTCCTGATGACAACTGCAGGATTGGCAATACCAGTTTTTGTTTCTGATCGTCACAAAGGGATTGTCAAATACATACGAGAGTCACATCCTGCAATCAAGCATTTTTTTGACCAATGGCATGTTGCCAAAGGTCTTGTTAAAAAAATGCTTGCTGCCAGTAAAGAGAAAGGCTGTGAAAGAATCAAGGATTGGACAAAAGGCATACGAAATCACATTTACTGGTGTTCTACATCAACTGTAGGGCGTTTTAAGAGCATGATTCTTGCAAAATGGAAATCTTTGATGCGGCACATAACAAACAAGCATGAGGACCATCCTGACTCACTTTTCCCAAAATGTGTTCATAATGAGATTGAAAAGAGAAAGTGGATAAAAATTGGTAGGTCTGAGATGTAATTGATATAGGTTTGTGTTCAATTGCAACACCAACAATAAAATTATTACAGAGTGTTAAAAACAAAGGCTAGATACCGGTAAACTTTATTGTTCACAGATAAAATTGGCTATCATTATATAGTATTTCCTATTGGTTCTATTTATATTATCATATACTGTATGCCTGTTGGGTTGTTCACCTACGACTTGGTGGCAACAGACAAAAGTACTTAAATTAACCAGTGATAGCCAATTTTGTCTGTTAATTAAATTAATACAAATTTACTACATTTTCATGGTAGTAATATATTAATTTTTATTTATATATGAAGGAACAAAAGCATATGACAAACTGCAGGTTATTCTCATGAAGAAAACCGTGCTGAATGACATACAGCGATTGTCCCAGATGCACAGACCAGTGCTCTTGAAGGGTTCCATTCCACCCTAAACCAATGGCACCCAAAAATGCTTTGTTTTTCATGGCTTGGCACATATTGCAGGTAAGCGAATTTATTTATTGTAAACCGGGGTGACTTTGAGAATTGGTTGAATTTGGCTACCTTTCTGTGAAGTAATTATGTTAAGTACTGAATAAAAACAGGAAGTGGACAGAGTGAACCGATTTTCAAAGTCACACCAGTTTAACCCATTTGTGGGCAATGAACTCAAACACGCTCTACTTTAGTATTTACTCTGTCTAACACCAGATGATTTTTCTCGCCAGTGGTAGGGTACTGGCCATCAATGGGTTAACCTAATTACAGGCACGGATTTTCTGGGGGGGGGTGCGCACCCCCAGAAATGATTTGCACCACCCCCCCCATCCCCCAAGGCATTTGGCACCCCCGCAAATTACATATATTTTGATTTGATGGTTTCATATTTGATTATTCTTACTACTAAATTTGTAAAATTACCAATATTATGGTCACAGATCTTGCCATGCAGGCCTAGAAAACAAATTTTGTTAAACTTTTTCCTTGGCCTTTCTGGGTGTTTCCACCACGCCCCGGCCAAAACAAGCAGTAGCATCCCCCAGATATTTATCCCCCCCCCCCGAACGAAAATATGAAAATCCGTTTCTGCCTAATTATGCTTAGTCCAGTAAAGTAGCCCGATGTAGTGCCTTCCAGCCAAATTATTGCCCCCTCTGGGAAAATTCGTAGTCAAACTGATTAAAACATCAACTTTGTTCCAAGACTTTTTTGAGCTTTCCCAGGGGTAAAACAATGCATGCTAAATAACTAAATAAAGCAAAATTTAATGCCCCTCTATGGCTATGAATATGTTGCTTACTTGCCTCATTCAGTTTTCATGCATCCTGTGCGAGTTGGCCATGCCCAATTTTTTTGTCCCCCTCCCCCCTTGGCTGGCTTACGGTACTCTATGCACATGTTCTATAATTTGTTCTGCAGACATATCCTGGCAAGCTTGCATTTCAACGAAAATATTAATCGGGAAACTCAAACAACAAAGGATGGAAATGCATATGTCCATGTCACATATCCCAAGTTCAAATTGGGTGATGAAGTTGTTAGAGAAGTATCGGTACCACCAACATATGGTGAGTTTTCCTTTTTTAATTAATGCATTACAACTGTTACATCCCAAGGCTAGTGTAATATTATTTTTTCATTTTAATATTTTTAAGAATGTGTTACCTGCATTAAATAAGTTTTACTCACTTTGAGCAAGGAAGACCTGACCAAAGTGAGAAACAAATATTTGGCAAAGGTCCCAGCAGCACTCAACACCCAATTTGCAGACAGAAAATCGAAGATTGAAGCTGTGCAAGAACATGGGAAAAGAAAAAAGCAAGTTGTTGAACTTCATCCATCAGGTATAAGAGAAACAAATAACTGAATAGAATATTGAAATCCAACCCTAGTCCTGAGTTAGAGTGGGGGGGTGGGGGGTGGAGGATGGGGAGGGTGACCCTCTTCCAATAAACTGTAAGTACTGGTTAATTAAGGCAATTTTAGAAGGTTTACTGAATTATGATCAATATTTTTTTAGCCCAAGAGCAAGAAACTCTTAAAAGGAAACTTGAAGAGGCTGAGGCAGCAAGGCAAGCCGATCCACCTGCAAAGAAACAGAGATGCTGCCGGAAATGCAAGAGTCCAATGTTAGGGCATCCACGTGGTCATTGTATGAACCAGGCAGAGGATAATTGAGCTACAATAAAATGATATTTCAATTGTACATGTTTGTTTGTTGAAAAATATTTATTTAAAAAACTCGAGAACAATTGTAACTTCAAAGATCTATAACGTTATTACATTTAGTCATCGGGATAACTAACTAGGTTATAGACCCTGGTTATATGGTCTCAGGTACCAGCAAATATCTTTTCCTTACTCACTAAAACTGAGAGCTTATATATAGGTCATATATGCTGTATAGTTGCCAATAGAAGCGTTCTGAAAAATGTTGACCAATTCATTTCCTAACTTGAAGGAACACCTCTGAACAATTCCTCAACAATTTTTTACTAACTTCCTGTTTAGTCACAGGTCAAATTGGTCAAAAATTTGATTGGTCAAAAATAAAATATAAAATTTGATTGGTCAATGAAACAGGAAGTTAGGAACTTTTTAAGGAAATTATCAAATTGTTGAGGAATTGTTCATAGGTGTTCCTTCAAGTTAGGAAATGAATTGGTCAACATTTTTTGGAACGCTTCTATTGGCACGACTGTAAAATGTGAGTCGGGTTTAGATGACTGGTTACCTAGGATCATAAATATATGTAATTTAGTAAATGCATAGCTGTTATGCCGTATTTCCTCTTTCTTGTCCAGATATATATCCTTGCACATGAGAACTGCCATATCGACTTCTCAGTTCATGATACAAGCAAGCTGGTAGTGCTCTGGTGTTCTCCCATCCCATACAGCCGAATAACCAATTCGCCAGCCATCGATAGCCCACTGCTCGAACAAACCTACACAATAGATTTTGATTTAAGAATTGCACATCAACAAGTATAGTTTGTTTTACCTTAGAAGGTTGCCATATACATATACTATATTCTACAAAATTATTATAAGTCCGTATATAGCTTGAAAAACATGACAGAAAGGGGGTTATAGGAGAACTTCCAAGTCTCATAAATGATAAGATAACAAATAACCGATATGAAGGTTTTTATTTGCATTTATCCAGAGACCATGCAGTGATTGCAAATAAAGTGTCTAATAAATTTATAGGATTGTATAATTGAAATTGCAAAATCAAACTTACTGATTCTCTGTGTTACCAGGTTGTCTTCTGTATCGTTTCCCATCCTTATTCCTCAGTAATGTGGCTACTTCGAGTAGAACAGTTCTGTTCGTTAGTGAACTGAAATCCTCATGGTCCGTTATGCACCCAACGTTCTGTCCAATATACGTATATTTGCCGACGCATTCAATAACCTCGCGACAACAACGATATTCTCGTGCGCCAACAAGATGTAGGTGATTGCATTTTCCACAAGTACACCTATAAATTAAATTTTCGAGGGGTTAACATAGATCTAAATAAACTCAACCCGATGTAACAACTTTTAAAGACTTACCATTTGTCCACAGCCACTTCTTTTTCGTAACGTTGTCTTAAAATCTCAACGGAAAGCCCATCTTCATCTAATTCATCGTCGTCTTGTGAACTTGATTCACTTTCGCTAGCCAATGGCTCGTTTTGGTATGGTAAATACTGGCCAGAAAACACATATTCGTTCTCGCTATCATCGCTTACATCACTATTCTCAATATCTGATGTGTTAGAAATCGAATCGAGATCGGACATTGTAAAAATTGAATTGCGAACGTCGTAGCTCGCGATATGAATAGTCTTTTCAAAGTGTTTGCACATGGAATCAAAACAACAACTCTAACGTGTGACGTCACTAGCCGCAATCTCTAGTTCCCAGTCCTCTGGAAAATTTCAGGCTACTTTAAGTGAAGAAAAAACAAACTTCCCGAGGTTTAAGAAAAAAATAAATGATACCACGAGATTCCCCGTATCAAAATGTGTTACATTTGCGTATAAAGTCTTAGAGGAAAATTTCGTTTCATAGGCACTTTAAACATTAATATCTCCGTGAATTTTTAAGTAAAATACAACTGTAATATATCAAAATCTAAGTTAGTCCTTCCTCTATTTGACGCAAGTTATTTCTCGTGAAAAGCTTTACTTGTTTATAAGTTATTACGAATCAAACCGGAGTACTTTTTTTTGGGACACCCGGTATATGCAGGTTGTTAACCACAGTCGCCGCATTATCTTCACACTCATCACTATGTTTATTCGATGTTAGTGTTGCACAATCTTTAACGTTTGGATAAGCTCAACGTAACCTATAGTACAGCATAATAGAGATTTTATTCAGTACAACAATCATGTCATGTAAAAAATTCAATATATTCTGCTAGCAGGAAATTCATCTGCAGATGCCTGATTATAAATTACAAAACAATATAAATCATCCAATAACTCAATCCCAGTAGCACTTTTTCATAACAGCTTACCACATAGAGATGAAATCAGAAGTACTACAAATATACATGTAAAACAGAACTATTATATGTTTTATCGCCATGCAAACGCACAAAGAACTTAAATAAACATGTCTTGAACAAGTTGTTATAAACTCAGAGATCCCGTCTTTTCTCACACAATAAATGAATATAATTGCCCTATATCTTAAAAATTGTCACAAATTGACATCGAATTTAATAGAGATCCAGTCTCGACTCTGGATAACGAAATAATCAAATGTATAAAACAAATAGTTTACCTTTATACGACAGTACAACTTCGACATGGCGAAGCGCTTGACTGCATTTCAAATAGACACGCTTTAAAGGCATCCTTGCAGTTGGCGCAATATTCTTTCCTTCTTCTCACATTGTTTCAATGATTTGTTATTATTCGGATTTCACTTTATAAAATTCACATGTCGTTGAAAATCTCTTCGAAACTATGTATTCCCAGTCCCTTGTATCAACAAATATACTGTAGAATCGCGCGTATATTACGCAATCGGACTGGAAAACCAGAATCGTTTTTCGTCCCACTCTACGTTTGTCCAATTTCTTCATGTTTAAGGACAAAATTCCCGATGCTTTGAGGTCTTGTGTAGTTTATTCTTTTAAGTGTCGATGCTGTTCCGCGTCGTATGTGGGCCAAACGGTCCGCCATCTACATACACGAGTCTCTGAACACCTGGGTATTTCCGCCTTAACTGGTAAGACGAGTAGCAGTCCTCAACTGACAAGCGTCTTTTCCCATCTGAGCCACTCAGGTCATACTGCTTCTCTTGATGATTTTAAGATCCTATCATCATGTTCCTCTCCAGATGAACTTCTCGTCCGTGAAAGTCTTCTCATCTCAAAGCTCAAACCTACTTTAAATCAGCAAGGTAGCTCCATTCCTCTCTCACTCCTCTGACGTCTCTCCTTAACCCCCCCCCCTCTGCATTCCTATTACCTCATCACCTTGTAATTTGATATTGTAAATAATTATTCATATTTGTAACTTATTGTCATACTATATTCATTTACTCTGAAGATGTCTTAGGTTAAAGACGAAACGTTAGTACTTCTAAATAAATTTTATTTCTATATTTTTGTCTATATGGCTCTCTTTCGTACGTTATGCTGGGCATTAATCTTTATAATACGATTACGATTCCCGCCTGGTTCATCACTTGCAAGTATATAAGAAATACTTAATATGTCATCCTACAGCAAATAATGAAGACAAATACAAACGATTATATTAAAATAAATTATGAATCATATAATAAAAATAACAAAAAAAATACTACGAGGAACAATTAATAAACTACAAACATAATAATACATAATAAACATGCACACAGTATTTGCAGAAAATAAAAGTTTTGTCATGAAGTTTACTCATTTTTGCGGTTCATATCTTCAGTTCGGTAGATGCTACGTGGACCAAAATACCACCATTCGATTCAGTGTAACGATAGCTACTCATTCCTATCGATAGATTTAGTGAATGGCAACATTATAGCGATTTATGAGCTTTGAAAGTCAAACGAGCTCGTATATGGTCACTCAATATTACTGACAAATTATTACTGACGCAATATTACTGACAAATTATAAACATAAACATACCTTTCGCCGAATATAACTTCGTTCCATTGAGACGTATCCTCATTCTGATCGTCTTGGTGGATTAAGAAGTTAAAAATAACACGTATAGTGTTATTTTCAAGCTTCTATCTTTAAAATTCGACTTTTAGTGCCGAATTTTGTATTTCTGCTCCGAATATGCGTTAATCCCAATCGGAAATACAACGAAAAACCGTCAAAACAATGCTCCGCTTGCATCGCGTGACCCTGGAAATGCCAGAAATGGATTCTACAGGTCAAAGTGCACCCATACGCGTGAGTTAAGGGTGGGCATAGCTCTGGAGAAATCGAATTGATTCACGTTGAATTTCCAACGTGAGTTCTACGCATGCTCGGCAATGTTGCAAAATATAAATAAAGTATTTAGAATTTCGCGTCGAAAATTTGATACATTTTACACTGAAATCGAATTGAAAACAACTAAAAATTCTGGGGGAAATATGTACGAAAGGTTCGGTTGGATAGGGATACAGCTACCTGAAAAATACAAGGAGAACTTTGACGTTTCGAGCGAAGGCGCTTCGATCTTTACTGTTAGTGTTTGTATACATCGTACTTGACCTTTGCTGATAAATATAATCTCCTCAATAATAAGTATTATATATTTTTATGCTTTAAAATTTACATTTAATTCTTCTGTCAGAATTTATGGTATACGTATAGTGTTAGGTATGACAGTATATAAAAGGTCAAGTACGATGTATACAAACACTAAACAGCACAAGTCGAAGCGCCTTCGCTCGAAACGTCGAAGTTCTCCTTGTATTTTTCAGGTAGTTGTATCCCTATCAATCCGCAGCTTTCGCACATATTTCCTCCAGAATTTCTAGTTGTTTTCAATCGATTTCAGTGTAAAAAGTATCAAATTTTCGATGAGAAATTCCAAATACTTTGTTTATATAGAACTCACGTTGGAAATCCAACGTACTATCTGCCGTTAGCCAATCACAGGCCTGAATCAATTCGATTTCTCCAGAGCTATGCCCACCCTTAACCTGCGAACGGGCATGCTCGGGGAACGAGATTGGGATGGACTGGGAATTCACGATCAGAAAATATGAATTGTCGAACCGTGAGTCTAGTGCTCAAGCATTCGAGTGTCTAAGGGAGGCCTCCAAAATGTTGTCGATCCGTACGATTGGTAACGGATGGACTGGGAATTCACGATCGGAAAATGTGAAATGTCGAACCTTGAATCTCGTGCGAAAGCTTGTGTGTTGTTAAGTGAGGCCTCCAAAATGCTGTCGATCCGTACAATTGGTAACGGATGGACTGGGAATTCACGATCAGAAAATATGAATTGTCGAACCGTGAGTCTAGTGCTCAAGCATTCGAGTGTCTAAGGGAGGCCTCCAAAATGTTGTCGATCCGTACGATTGGTAACGGATGGACTGGCAATTCACAATCGGAAAATGTGAAATGTCGAACCTTGAATCTCGTGCGAAAGCTTGTGTGTTGTTAAGTGAGGCCTCCAAAATGTTGTCGATCCGTACAATTGGTAACGGATGGACTGGGAATTCACGATCAGAAAATATGAATTGTCGAACCGTGAGTCTAGTGCTCAAGCATTCGAGTGTCAAAGGGAGGCCTCCAAAATGTTGTCGATCCGTACGATTGGTAACGGATGGACTGGGAATTCACGATCGGAAAATGTGAATTTTCGATTCGTGAATCTACTGCTCAAGCGTTCGAGTGGCTAATGGAGGCCTCAAAAATGTTGTTTATCCGTACCATTGGTAACGGATGGACTGGGAATCCACGATCGGAAAATATGAATTGTCGATCTGTGAGTCTAGTGCTAAAGCATTCGAGTGTCTAAGGGAGGCCTCCAAAATGTTGTCGATCCGTACCATTGGTATCGGATGGACTGGGAATTCACGATCGGAAAATATGAAATGTCGATCCGTCAAAATCTAGTGCTAAAGGAGTAAAGCTTGTAAACTCTGTGCAGAATGAGGGCGGGAAGGACGCTATACATTTGAATACGATGCTGTTAGTGTTATAACGGAAGTGTCAAATCACACTGGGGATTTTTTCCCAATTTCCGGCCATTTCTTTACCACGATCTGCTTGTGCAGCGGCCTCATTAGTAGGCTTTTAATGTGGGCCTGAAAAGCCTGTTCGTAGGCTAAGTAGGAAGTGTTTTGAAAATGGCTGAGCTTGTGCGACAAGACATGTTCGAAGCTGTACTTCTGAGAGGTTTAGATTCGTCAAAAAACGATCTAATAAAATCTGGGTTAGACTTTTGGTCGACAAAGGATGCCATAGACGAGTTAAAGAGACTTATTCCTTTGGTAGCTAAGAAATTTTTGGGAAAATACGGCGAAGGACAGAAATTCACAGTTGTGAAAGCATTTCCCATGCTTTCCCGCATTGTACAACGTTGGTATAAAACATTTATGAGAAGAATGATTGCTAAATGTGGAGAACGAAATCCTTGGAGAGTTACATTTTCCGAGTACCTCAGTATAGATCTATTCAATATCATGCAACAAATCATTGCACGAAGCTCGTACGGAGTTATCTGTATGTCAACAAAGAAACGCATTACGATTGTTTTCTCCAACGATGCCAGGGTTAGGAATGTTTTTTGCGAGTTAATGGACTGCAAAATCCTAAAAAAAGATTTTCTGAAAAGGTTGGCAAAAGGGAAGGGGAAAGTAGAAGCTGTTATAAACACAGAGAAACAATTTGGTACAACTTATTTATTGGAGAAAGAAGAAATAACATTTGATTTCTATTAAGGAATGTGGAATCAATATGACTGGCCACAACATGTGCAAGACTATAAGTGGACTGGTTTCGTTTAAATGTATGGTTGAATTTAACGTTTCTAGCAGACTAATAATGGTTTGATGCTCGATAAATACCTGTCTGATTATGCGGGGTTGTCGACAGGATTTATCTTAGCCAATGAGCTGCAATGCAAGTTTCACAGTCTCAAAACAAGATTTGGATTCTCTCGGCTAACTACTAATTATGTACCAGTCATTTGAAAGCTTGCGACCCTCCACCTCACGCATAAACAGGGAGAAAATGGGTATACTATCATTGAATTTTACATACTACAAATTGAATTCCCCCGGTATTCACTGAGGTGTGGGGTCGGGAGTATGAAATTGACTGATGCAGTAGGGGCTGTTCATATGATCCCACTTACCGAGACGTCTTGCCTAGAGAGACAAATATTTCTGTGCGTTCATATGGAGTTTTTCGTCTCGCTTGCCGAGATGAAATTACAATGTAGTTCTATAATTAGCGTATGCAAAACTTCTACATTTCAGTCAAGCAACACAAATATTTAGCGATTTTAGTGTTTTTATTTGTTTATTTACGAGAAAAAGTATTGCTTTAGGTGCATAATTAATACTTGTTTACAAAACAAACATAAAACAAAGTAGAAAGTGTTAAATTAAATGGTAAGACTTGTTTGACTTCATCCCGGTAAGCGGGCTGGCGTGTTCATATGGAAAATTTTTCATCCCGCCAATCTATGATCTCGGCAAATTCAAGCGAGATCTCGGAAAGCGGGCCAGCTCGCTTTCTCATATATGAACACAATGCAAAATTTTATAGGAAAATAACTAGGCGGTGAGATCATCGGTAAGCGAGACGTCCGGGTAAACGGGATCATATGAACAGGCCCTTAGAGCTCTACTTAGAATTATACAATTCAGCTGATTGAACATATTACATTGGTGTTAATATGCTGATTCACATCACGCTTTCGAATCAAAACATTGCCAACCCTTCGTTCAACTTTTGTTGCTAAATCCCAATAAACCCCAATATGTATAGGCAAAATGTGTGGTATCGTACGTGGTACCCTATCGAGTTAAGAAAGCTGGTATTGCCCATCCCTACTATTCAGACTATCATGATTTTAACCCTCTAAAGCTGTGCATGCAGGCTGTCAAAGGCACAACCATATATTGATGACATCAAATATTGAAACTGTTAACATCAGTGTGTAAAATATTTAATAGCATAAAATACAAGTGGATGTATTATAACATACATTACATGTTTTTGTTCTAGTTTTTAATATTTTTGTTAAAATGACAAAAGTTCCATTTCAATAAATAGTTAAAAACAGCTAAATTTTGCACAATATTACAAATATATAACATTATATTAACAAATTGTCTTTTAAATAGGTATAACTAGCTCGAAAAAAGCTTTTATTGATAAAATAAGCTATGTAGGTTTATAATGCGCAACAACCCAATTTCCTAGCCTCAGCTGTTATCTTACCTTGATTGATGGAATCATTAATAATTTGATGAACTGAATGACTGCAAAAGTCACATTTTGGCTGTTCACTTACCTTCGGTTGCCCACAATGACAAAACTGTGCAGTGTAGCATCTTGCAGGGATGTATTTGTTCCTAGTAGTTGTGTATTTGGCTGAATCACAGCCATTCTCTCTAAGCCAAAGAAGGGAGATATATTCATGTCTGAACACCTGCAACCAACGAGTCGAGTGGTGAGTGTTACGTGCAAACTTAGCAAGTGAAATATGTTTCGTCTCTCGACCTTCCATACTATTCATACCGAGCCCATAGCCCAGTTGTTGCTTAGCTTGGTGTGTGTGATTTGGAACAACATGACCGATGGTCCAAGTGGTTTGTGTGACAGATGCAAATAATGCACAAGCCCTAAAATACTTACCGGATACCTTTTTCAGCAATATAACCTCTTCATTAGTAATATTAATTCTACTGAATAGAGAAACAGCATCCCTCAAGTTAACAGCAATAATTGCAAATATGTGCAATTTAAATATATGAGTAGATTGATCATCATTTAAACTGAGAGAATTAATGAGTTTCATGAAGTTGTTGCTCATTATTTTGAATTCCTTACCTGTAAATCTGTAAGAAAGGTCTTTGTTGTGTAGATGCCCATCGCAAAACCACTTTCTGATATTTTTGGCAAGTCTTGTGGCTTTTAAGACACACTTCAGAGCTTCATAGTACTGGTTAAAGCAGCTTGAAAGAGGGGTATCACTAACATTCTCACAACCACTTAAATTGGTTCGAGCTATGGCATATTTCAGAATCAATGCATGCCATTGTTGCCATGCATTATTCCGATGCAAGGAACATGCATTACTGAGAAAGATACATTCCATAATTGACCATCAACTGAAACCGAGTATGTTTTCTTTTCGATTTCTTTGATGTCTTGCGATAGCTTTAGAACATATCGTCTAATAGCTTCACAATCCTCTGAGCAATTTGCCCCAAGAAGAAGAAAGTTCTCATTGCGGCTAGAAATTCTATGACCGCAATTAAGAAAACTCACCAACCAAGCCAATGCCGAGTCATCCTTACCAAAGGGGGGACCGTCACCCCCAATGGCAACATTGAAGTGACCTGCTTGCTTATTGTTATACCAAATAAGCTTATCAAGTCTGTGTTCATTGACTTTCAAGTAAAACTGGGCCAACCTTAAAAGCAACTCTGTTAAATCCCTGTACTTACCTTCTACATGGTCATCATTGCCTAGACCGGTACAAAACTGTTGATGAGGTCATACAAATTACCTATATCTATGCCCTTGATCTTATACATCAATTCCTTGTACGGAAGTATGCGTGGAACATTACAGTTCGACATAAATTCTGTGTGCGACTTAGAATTACTATTTTCTTTATTATTCATGCTTAATGCTGACCTAATGCTAATGTATTTCTCCTTGCTAACAAGGCCATTCCTGTAAAGCACGTTTACGCTTCTAACAAAATTGGTTTTAGAATTTTCAAAAGCCTTAACCTTTTCATTTACAACATTAGGAATAACTTTTGTCATTACAGTAGGTGATTTGTAAAACATATCAGTTAGTGTGCTAGCTGAAGCCCCATTAGATAGGGTTGCAAAAAGACCAAAGTAAGCAGGTTGCATATTACTTGGAGTTCCTCCATGGATTTTCATTGCTACTTCACTGGTTTCTTGTATCTTTCTTCTGGCCGTTTTCTCAGGACCATTTATATTTCTTTTCTCGTTGAGAGCGGTAGAAGACTGTAATCGTTTTTCAGTGAAAGACAAAGTGAAGAATCCTTTTTCTGAGTTCTTTTTCTAAAATCTGTAATATAACGGACATTTTTGAAAACAAATATTGTACAGCCCCTAGCCTGGGGGAAAATACTTTGAATAATTATATACTGTAGCCACTTGTTTATCTAAATTCAGTAACAATTGCAGCAGTCAGCCATTATTGGAGAGTGGGCAAAGGGGGATTCTCCAAAAGATTGCTGTCTAATTAACAAATACAGTGTAGTAGGATGGTTAGAGGAAGGCTGGTTAATATTGTACCCTCAATATTACATAAAGTGTTGGTTACACCCACACTGTGCACACACATTGCCATGAAAATAAGGCCCAGGCCAGGGCCGAAAGTATTTACATTTCCACAAGCCTAGGCCACCGGTTGTAGTAGGCCCAGATTTCCTGGCCTAGGTCAGGGCAAGGCTAGGTCAAAATCTGTTTACACTGTCAAAATGTAGGCCAAAGCCAGGCCAAGGCTAGGCCAAGACTGTTAGTGTAAACACGACTAAAGACATTGCCGAGATGAAGTAAGTTAAATGCTTCACATCATATCAAGCATGCTAAGAAGGCAAAGGTTGAAAGGTCCCGCCTAGCCTTATATTTCTGATTTCTCGTCCCAGCTAGGCAGATTGAAGGGTTTATATGGGAATTTCTCATCCCATCTAGTGGGGATCTCAGCATTTGGGGATAGGAGCCGGATCATATAAATACTGAGTGGGATTTATAATGCCGTGATCATGTCTGTAACACATTTAATCCAATGCAAATAAATACCTTTTTTATTCTCTCTTTAATATCTTCATCTGCAGTTCTCACCTATGCAACACAAAAGCAATACTATTAGTCTTTGAAAACAATACCTACACATGAGACTTCAAGTCCTGGAAAGCAACAATTTAATAGTTTGTTGACTCACTTTACTTTGAAGACGTTTCAATTTTGCTTGCTTCCCTTTAAGCTTTTTGTTTTCAGCCACTAGTTTTTGTATGAGCTCTTCTTGTTTCTTTTTCAGTTCAGTCGTATATTTACAGACTGGAAATCTTGTATAATGTTGACGTTTATTTGGCGGCATTTTCCAACACTTTAATACAACAACATGGAATACTTCCAAAGTAAAAGTCTGAAATGTCACATTAACATTTTGGGGAAATTTTACGCGGTAAAGTGTAAAGTACCCGTATTTTAAATTGAAAATTACAGAGCGAATAAGACATATCGAACAATTTGGGCAAGAACAAAACTTTACACTGTAATCACAGTTTGCCAAAATATAGACATTTCCGAAGATTAATCGTCACGCAATGAGCCTATTGAAGCCAAAATATTACACGATACATGTTCCAGAAAAGCATGTTTACCAGCATCAGAAAAAACAATGCATAAAACGTGTATTTTAACGCCAAAAATTGATAACTTTGGTAAAAACTATTTCCCAGCCTCATTACAGCCGATCTCTCAACTAAATATGGCGTCATGGAAATTTTTGCCCCACTTCCTTGGCCGGAAACACCAACAAAAATTCCCAGCGTGAATGTGAGGTGACATGGTCATAGACATAGGCAAAAAATAGGTACGCAACGATTCACATTTTGCATTTTCTTGAAAGGAACTGAATAATGAAGATGGCATGGGACAATTGAAATATTTCATCATTTATTATAATATAATATCAAATAAAATTTTCAAGTCAAACATAATTTCCATCTAACAGGGCTGTACCCAGTGCGGAGTACAGGAGGGGCAACTGCCCCCACCCACAATATTATAATGTGATTATGATTGTAACAGATAATTATGTAATCAGGGAATGAAAATTTAATTCAAAGTTGCAAACAACATTTGAACTGTCTACACACCCAGCAGCCGGTTATTCATTAAACTGTCACTTGTTAATCCAAATACTTATTGAATTTCAAAACTTTATTGTAGTCATATGAAGCAAAACTTCTGTCACTTGTTGTTTACACTCAGCACGTAGCTAGAACTCTAATTGGGGGTGGGGGGGGTATATTCATATATTCATGTTCTGTCCAACGAATTTCTTTTGAAATCGATTGTTTTTACGGTATATTAACATGAATATATGACTATACACCCCCAATTATCGTGTCTAGCTACGGCCCTGTTTACACTTGACAATGTTAACTTTTGAGTAACATATACAAACTATTCAAGGAACATGCATTACTGTAGAAATGAGTCAATCATATATCGAAGACCACTGAATAGGAGAAAATGTTTTGAAGGTCATGAGTGAAGAATATCATTCAGTTCCAATCCTGTGCACAGTTAATGATATACCACACTGACACTGTTCGGTTTGCTTTACGCAGCATATATCCACACAAAAACAATTTGTGTTGTGGGAGAATATCGGTTTGAGTAGAAGGTATCACAAGTTTGGTTTTGTCACTTTTGTACATTGTGTGCCATTGCCCCTAACCTATGTGCCTACACAGCAAAAAATCATTTTCTTATTAAGAAAAAAATTTCTTAATTTAAGAAAAAAATCTTAAAATAAGAAAATAATTTTCTTAGTAAGAAAAAATTTTCTTGAAATAAGAAATTTTTGAATCCCAAGATATCTTTTTCTTAAAATAA